CCCACTTACTCCATCACGGCTGCGCACTAGCGATCTTGTAGTTATTCTGCTTAGCTATGCGCATTCACTTGATGATTTTTTTAATTCTGCGCAACCTTTCCTTATCACCTGATTTACCTTGCATTAATTACATTATTTCTTTAATTGACTGCTTTTTTTGACATCGATATAACGCGCTGTAACAAACATATTTGACTTGGAATAAGTCGAAAGCGATTTTGTTGACAGGATCTGATAGAAATATAATTGTAAGCAATTACTAATTGAAAAATTACATTTTCCAACCTAGATGTCCATTAAAAAAGGAATAAATGTCATGTTCAAGAAGCTATAAATTCAAGAAACTTCGACAGAGTACAATTGCAATTCAACAGAAGGGAATCTGCGATACAGAATTCCTCGGAGCGATAAGCAATTAATCCGGCAGCAAGTCGAAATTGAAACGTTACAAGTCAACACACGAAACCGACGGTACTCCGGCAACATCGTCGTTACACCTACTTCGCGATAAACTATCACGATGCATGTACACTTTCACGGCTCGGTACAACGTAAATCTCGACGGTTGTAAAATTTATCGCCTTACAATGTATATCCTCGCGAAAACGAGGAACAAATCTCGAGCAAACGGCTCCGAGGAACTCCTGTGGAACGCCTCGAAAACAACGAGTTCTATAAATCGACGGCGAAGAATCGACTTATGAATCGAACAAATAGCTCAAGAACGAAATAAACTTGTATACAAATAAAGCTTTATATTTTGAAATTTAAAAAAACGGCGCCAATGGAGTGTAAAGGATTAAATTTTTACAAAAAATTTATAAATATCCCTCTGAATTGTTTCTGAACATAATTCAAGTGTGAAAGGTTCCTAACACAACCAGCATTGCCACGTTCCAGGTAAAACAAGCAAACCGTGTGCACTAGTGTTGAGACATACAAGTGAAAAGCGTGGCATGCGTTTCGTGCACGCTTTTATACGTAATACATGTATTACAGAAAGCAGACACGAGAAAACGAATAGGGTTGTTGGCGAGGATCGTGCAAATGAGTGTACCACTCGCGAGCCAGATCGCGGCTACACGATCGGGACAATGTAATCGAGACGATAAGCTCGATAAATCGTAATTAAAGTTTCTAGATCGATCCGTGACTCCGTGGAATGAATTAATTACAAGTAATTGCGAGATCACGTTATGTAACGGTCTCTGGCTGCGGAGCCTGATTTTGTTTGTAAAAGTAAAAGGAGATCACGACGTTTGTTGGGTAACCGTTAATCTCTATTGTTATTTATTTCTTCATTGAGCTTGTGTTAAAGAGGACGCGATTCTCATTTTTCAAGATACCTTATCGTCAACGGAAGTTACATCTTTTCATAATTTAATTTAATTAACAGGGGAATTATTTAATAGAGGATGAAAAGTACAAATTATATTTTTCTGTATCTTTTAAAGAGCTTATTAATTTGCAACTATGTTTAATCGAAAGAATGTGGTATATATTAATTATCATTAGCAACTTCATTAGTACCCAGCGAAACGATAATTAAACAAGCGTGACTAAAGTTAGGTGAGTTTCAACAGCAGGAAATTCTGAGTGGTAATATGGTTAATCGTGGTCCCGATCGGGAGATCGATCGAACCTAGCCCGATAAACTACAATTAAACGCCGTGAATTAACTTTCGAACGTTTGGATCCGATTCGAGCAACATTGAATGTGGGTCGTCGAAATTTTTACTTCGTGATACCAACGTGTGCCCATATAAACCAGCCACGTGCACAATATAAACGTAATTATGCGCGGTGTGTATCGTCGATTTTGCTTTTGGGTCGACGGAACCGGAAACCCAGAACGACCCCGGAATATTAACCAGTCGAAAATCGTCCGGTAACCGCGTTGCGAAATCGAATCCGTTTCATTCAGAACGGTTTTCAGTTCCATCTTTAGAATGAAATAAACCGTCTACCGTCTCGATCAGCTCGAAATCAAACTGGCACACCGGCAGTACAAGAAGACACGAGTGCAGTAAACTGGCTAATGAATTCCATGCCGTACTTAAAAGTTAATTAAAAGTTAATTAAGCATGTGCCGGTGAGTTCCACGGGATTTCAACGAGCGTTGAAACAATATTTCCTTCGTAATAATTAGACACGACAAGCTTCGGAAGAAGCGAACCGGCGTTCCTCGCGGGCACAATTGAGAGTGAGAAACGCGCGACATGAGGCGAGCGGAATAGAGAGGAACGAGAAGAGAAATTGCGTACAATATGCAGGGAAACAAGCGGCAGTTAGTTGCGACCAGTGTCAGAAACGGTTTCACATTCCGTGCGATCTGTATTTTCGGGCTGATTTAATATTCGAATATTAAATTTCGATAATTAGTCGCGATACGTGTCGCGCAACAATGCTGGACAACGGACATCGATATTTTCCGAGCTATTTTCATTTTCCCGCACCGACGGGATGCACTCTGGTATGCGCTCTTCGCTCGCGTACCAGACGCTTGTTACGTGAAATCCGTGTCTCGATGTTCGCGACAATTAACGATGAGAAACAAGCGGACAAGCAGCAGCGAGGAGAAGAAAATAGAGTGGCGAGGATGACGTGAAAATGTTAGCTGTCAACGTCCGTAAGGATTGTTTCGTATACACGAATGAGTTCCCGGAAACTGTTACCGGGTTTTCGATTAATTCTTCGAAGATACTTGAGACAGTCGCAATTTTATTTTTATTTTATTAATACGTCTGACTTATGATTGACTCGGTTCTGTTGTACAAAGAATAATTTGATAATTCAGATATTTTGCATTAGTGTAAAGAAACACATCCCTGACCTACGCACACTCTGTTCCATGAAACAGAAATTCCACATTTTATTCTCTGCAGAAAAACACGTAAGATGTGTGTTCCGATATCTACGGTAATTTATGGATGGTACATAAATTACAGTACACTCGTTCAATTTAAGATAAGCATTGAATAAGTCAACAAATGTGGGGTGCTCTTCTTGGTAGATGTTATTTCGTACTGTTTGCATTTGATTCTGTTGCAGATATTGTTTGTTTTTTCAGAAAGAAACAGATGGATTTCTTCTTTTCGATGAAACGATTTTGTAAGTTTCAATATGTGTTGCATTCGGAAGAAAAGAATGGCACGTTTTATATAATCATGTAAATAAACAATCTATATTTGTTTCACTAAAAGACGTTATGTAATTATGGGGAAGAGGTGATATTATGCGATGATCAGGTGCAATCACGGTTACGTATAATTAATGCCCGGCTACAATTATGTCCACGAAGCTTTCGAAACTTCCCTTTCTGTACTCTGTCGCTCTATATACGTGGGCGTGCATGTAGGAGACACCGTGCACTCGTGACGATGATTACTCAATTACCGCTGATCAACGGCAGAGAGTCCGATTGAATCCCCTTTCTCCGTGGATATGACTTCTCAGAGCCTGAAAGGCGCGTAGGACGCAGAGGTTAATCGCATAATTGCGACTGACGCGTGGAATGCATTGTGAACGAGGCTTAATTGGGTGAATGTAACCGACTTAAGAACCGAATCGCTTTTGCACTTGGGTTCGTTAACTGTTTTGAGATTTCGAAAGGACATTAAATCTTTTTAGAATACAATATAAAAATCCCGGAATTTCTCAAGTCATTAAAAATCTGATCCATCAAACTGAAAAGTACTGAATGGCAGGAGAAAAGAGCAAGTGGAAGAAGAGACTCAGAAGTGTTGCGAGACGTTACGAAATCCGAGGTACCAGGTGCCATTGTCATCCCGTTGCAACGATATTCGACAACGGGGCGTCGTGCTCGTTAAATCGAAAGCTCCGTGAGATTCTCGTGCCAGGAAGTCTATTTTGCTCTCCGCGGAATTCTTCGTCGGCTCGTCATTGTACGCTCATGAGACAGGACGTCGTCTGTGACCCGGCTGACGTCGTAACGCGCTATTGTCGCGATACCGCGATCAACGGCACAGAATAACCCGTTTTCTGTCACGTTACGCAACGCTCTTCCCATTGTTCACCTTTCAAACTCGTTGAAAAACAATTTCGCGCGCGTTCGAGACGGTGACAAGAATTTTTACGCGTTTCAAAACAGCTGGAACGCGACCGACTTACGCGAGAATCGCTCTCGATCAGCTTTGGCTGACAATGCGCTATTGTTTCCCGGATTTTCCAGCCGAAAATCAAGTGCCACGCATCTTTTTCATCGTTCTCCCGTTACGTATTGTCCGAACCGACTAACATACGTGACAGAAGTTAAGGTTGACGCGAAAGAATTCGGGACTCCCGAGTGTTGCGTGTTCGACAGACGATGTCTGCATACGAATTTTTTGAGTATGGTTTTGTATAACGATGAGTATTATTCCGGTGATGGAAGAGCGTAAATCATTCCGTTATCTTGCCCGATGATTTACGAGTTTAGGAACCTTGTGTGGAACCGCGGTGTCATTTCGTGATTTGCATCTGTGCGCAAAGTTGCACCGAGTCAGTTGCATCACGCTGCATTACGTTTCTTTTATAATTAATCTTGGAAAAACAATTCTGTAATAATCTAAGCTACAAGAAATCTATCATGGGTTCCCTAATCTCAACGTCTGCTTTGTATGTTTAACAAATATAAAAATTGCGTAATCTTCCCTGAAATATCATATTATGGTTCTTCAGGGAGTATACCGATAATCTTTGTATGTTTACACACACGATGATTGTTATCGCGTTAGTTTAGCAAGAAATCTTGGTGTCACTACAAATGTAGACTAAAATAATCTAGAACGTATAATACATCCGTTTGAAGGTCTTCTAGGTCTTCAATAATGAATCAGAATTCGATATTTCGTTTGTGACTAATTAAATAAAATGCAAATAGTGGAATTATCTTCCCCCAAAATTCCATATTCTTTAGGAAAAACTATGTTATTTGATATTATAAAAAAAATTTCTTCTTAGGATATCATTTTCCTTTTACAATAATTTGTCACCCATACCTGACCCCATATCCACGGATCGCAACTGGAGGATGCATCGAAAAATTGTCCCGAGACCTTGGATCAGCTGCACTCACCTGAAATCAGAAAATGCAATAGTGTTAGAGTGCATTCGTCCGTGTTCGTGTAGCTGGCTGTTTGAATAGAAAGGGCTAGACGATCGTAAATTTACCTCGTTTACCTTGCATGGATAAGATATGTATGCGCCGTGGCTCGTGAGAAGACACGAGCTAGTCGAAAGAGGGTGTCGTAAAATACAATGTTTCCTATACGTTGTAACGCAAGTTGAACGCGAGTCTCAGCTTTTCGAAATTTGCATTAACGTCGCTGTGTTCGCTCGAAAATGAACGGCTCCATGGGAAGCTTAATTATTTCCAGCCACGTAAGCATCTCCAGGCCTGGCTTTCCGCGTTTCCGAAATGCAAATCAACCGGATGCTTTGAATCGCTAATTTCTACCTTTTCAACGTGACGACTTCTTTATTGCCCACGGTTTTACAGCCTCGACTCCCACGAGATGAAATAACGATTCCCGTTCCACCTTGATGTACAACTTCTCACCGCAAGTTTGGACAACACTATTTCGAAGTGTTCAATTCTTCAGGTTTATAGTCAACTCGGATGTTACAAAGTTTTGTAGATATACGTCTAATCTTATCGATTGCTTGTTAGGCGACTGGTATTATGAGGATGAAATACGTGTTATATAATCGGCAAGGCGGAGCTGATTAGCCTTTGATCGAGGAATTCGCGCAATGTGTACTTAATCTGATCAAATAGCCGCTATATAATTGTATCAATGCTAGTTTAACCAGTCATTAAGTTGTAAAAGAAAGAATTAGTAGGCGGGGTGAGAATGGAAATTACAAAAACCTGGGTGGATGACTTTGGGCTTTAGAAAATTTATAATTTCAAGGAATATAACAATAATAAATCAACCAAAGATAAATTTTCAGCTAAAATACGTCTCATTAATTAAGTCATTGTTACTATAAAGAGCAAGAGCGTAAGTGCATTCTCGGTGCAACGGTCCGCCATATGGAAAGACAGCTTCACTTTAAATAGGTAAGTTTCAAAGAAGAGAACGTGGCGAGGTCACAAATCGAGTAGTCACGATGGGATCAGTGTCAGAGACACTTCCTAAAAGCCCTCGATATCCGCGTTGCATCGACGTTCACTCAGCCTTTCGCGCGGTGCATCCAACGCGAGAGAAGAAGTGCATTCACCCCGACCGTTTGCATCGTTTACAGCCGCTTCAACCTTCTCCGGCTTTTCTAGACTCTAGAAGCCGGAGTGCAGCTCTATCTCGACCACGGACCACACTTATGCACTTACGCGTTAATGCCGTAACGACCGTGCCGGCTGCTGCAGTTGCAGTTGCAGTTGCAGTTGCATCGACAAGCCGAGGGCAAGGCAGACTTCTACGAGGGCAGGCTACCAACACCGATATCCGATTTATTTCTTTTTCTCTGTTTCTTTACCTTATATATTTTTCTCTTTCCTTTTCCCTAATAAATTTCTTTACAAATTAATGGAAAATTAATTTTTCCTTTTGAAGAAGACCTTATCAAAAATCGTTTACTTCCAACTATTTTTTACCTAAACGAATAAAAACATTCTTGCTAGCAAAAGAAACATAAAACTATTCGAAAAAATGCATCGAATGTCATGTTTGAAGAACGTATCGGCTCTTTGAAAGAGGATTTTTCAGAGCACGTTTCTTCCTAGTCATAGTACGATCTGGAGCAGAGAGGTTCGAGTTGCTGGCGAAGAATAAGTACACGGGCCAGGTAAGTGATCGGAAGAAGGCCTTCACGGCCGTACGCCCACTGTAAATTTTACTACGTCATCTCCAGGAACGACCTCGTCCCACAACCGATACTAAATCCTTTTACGATCCGACCGGCGCGGCAGCTGGCCAGCTCCGTTCCTCCATGTCGTTGACTCGCTTTTTCGTTCCGTTCTTCCAGCTCGAGGAAGAGTAAACAAGACATCGAAGACGTGCATCGCGAAAAGAACGAGGAACTAGCATCCACCAAGCTCGAGGAATTTTGTATTTCAAGACTTCCAGGTGAAATAAAAGAAGAACATTGGTATACACATAAATCATAAAGGCATTATGATAATTCCAATTGAATATCAATGCGAACCGAGGTATTTCTGGAGTTGAATCCGAAGGTGAAGTACAAGGTGAAAAAGAATGGAGATTGGAAATTTACATCTGAAATCTGCGCATATCGAAATGAATCAATTAAGCGGTAATTTGCATAACAATCAGTCAGAAAAACATACATATTTTTATACTAAACGTACCGTGGATTCTCGGTTTAATGATTAAATTAAATTATTCGTTAGCCAAAGATTAATCGTCTGATTTTCTACCCGTGTAAAATCAATCAAATTCGTTCTGCTCCTTTGAATGCAAATGGTGTCACTGTATCGAAGAATCGAGACCAAGAACGCAAAGAAAAAGAGTTTAAAGCTCAGTTAGGCTAGAAAGTAGTTGAAAACGAGGGAAACCGGGTTCGATCGAAGCTACTAATCACGATCCATGCAAAACAACCGGGGCCGGAAGGAAATTAGCCTAACGTTCCGTGAAAATAAAGCGTGTCATCTTTCGCTTTCTAGGACTCGTCGGCGAATTTTGTTTTGCGACCCGTGCTGCTAATTAAACGCTTTCACCGTTGTCCGCCGATGTGTAGCGATTTCTCTCGTCTTCGAAACCTCGACGTAGTTTGTTCTTATTAAAACACGATGACCAGCACTGATTGACGTCCGAGGGAAATAACAACCTCGAATACTGCTAACTAATTCAACTCGTTATATAACAATTACGTGTTCGAAAAGAATGATGAAGTTAAGTTGAAAACTTCACGAATCATATGAAGTGGAAATTAAAGGTTGTTATAAAAAGTATCGCTATTCAAAATTGATTAATTACTCTGTTCTTTTTTGTTCTAAAATAATATCGATGACGTGTGTAAAATGCTATCATGCACGAACATTTTGAGGGACAATAAAGCACTTAGGAGAGGAGGATATAGTGCGTGACAGGTGTAATAGCGCGGGCCGCCAGTGCAAAGGAATATTTTCACGTGAAAATACGATTTAATAGGGCGGTGGAATTAGCACTTGGTTAGCTGCTGCGGAAGCAGTTAATTATACATTTAAACCGTAATTCGAGCGAGTTTTTTTTAATCCTTTGAACTGGACGTACTTTTCTGACCTGAGTAAATTTATGTCAAACATAAAGCAAATATAGTTTGTTACATATTTCTTGGTGAATGAAGAAGTAAAAAGAATTTCTTTATCATTTTCTCTGCAAATATTGTTTCGAAATGTCTAAACTTCGATCTCTATAGGGAATCGACACGACATCGTTTCTCAAATCATATTTCTTAAACATGTCGATGCACGGAAGCTGCACTTTGGGATCACGAGCACGTTAGATGGCAATGCGTCTATTATTCACGATGGCTACGATATATGTGTATCGACCAGTTGCACGGTTACACGGTCTCCTGTGAATTATTGTAACGATCGCGGAATTGCAGTTTAGGTAACGCTGGAGATGCATCCACGAATGCACCGAGCTGCGACGATGGGAAACATCCTCGAGGCGTCGAACACGAGCCTTTATAGAAATTGAAATCGATTTCGTGTCGGATCGCCGCAAGAGATTGCTGGTAACAGGTGTCTTTGTAAAAATTGATACGATCTGGGAATCGCAATTTCGCAGCCGGCTATGGGAAACGTTGCGAGAATTTATAAATGCAGAGGATCTTAATCTGCCTTGTTCCTTGTTCGAAGACAAGATTTTTTCGTGTTCTTCAGTTTGTCGAAATACATCATTATGTGTGTTCACTAGTAATTTGCTATTGCGTGAATTGAAGTTTAATTCTGATGCTGAATGAAGATGGTTAACATGTTCATTTCATGTATGAATCAGGGGAGTTCAAAATCAGAAATGATATATGTATTTCTGACAATTCTATAAGTGTTCTTTATATGTAAATAATGATTTAATTAGACATATAATTTGATGAAATATGATACAAATATTTTGATAAGTATATTATTAATTACAAACCGGACACGTTTAAATCTATGTACGAGTGGACCAACCTCCTCTGCATTCCACTCGCGTTCATTTTCAGCTGAACCCGTGCATAAATCGCGTTAAGTAATTCCCTTTCCATTTTGCGTATGTTAATTTTGAGAAACGACCGCGTGTCTGTCGTCGGTGATAAAGCCCTCGCGTGTTGCGATCCGGATTTATCAGCAGCGCAGATAAAATAGGCACGATTTATCGATTACTTCATTAACATTAACCGAGACTACTTTCTAATGAGTTCTAACAAGAGTCTGGTCACGATAATGAGTTTATCCGTGGTATATATGCAACAGCGAAGGTATTTATAATTATTTGCACAGTATAATGAATGTATGCAATGAGTAATCGTTTTATAATAAATTTCGTGGATGGTGGTTGCTCAACGAAACTTGTCTCGAAATTTCTGAAAGGAAAACTTTGATTGCTCGTGTTTCACGCGTGTGGGAACCGATCCACGATAATTCATTCGAACGATCGTGTGCGTTAGTTATGGCGTGGAAAATTTACTCGCTCACAGGCGAAGAGGAACGATGCACAAAGGCTGCACGGTCAGAAAATAATACGCAGAAGGAAGGATGATCGTACGGAGGAAGAATGCCTCCTCCGACCATCGTCGGAAAGAATTCTGAAAAGATCCGTTCGCCTTGCTTTTGTGCAGGAATACAGAAGACGAGCTCCTCCTTCCATTCATCACGGCTTCTGAAAAGTGCGCGGTACGGATCCTTCAGTCTCGAGAGGAATCCTCAGCGAAACGACACGATATAGATTCGAAGCAGCTTAAATTATTTTTCATTCAGGCGATCATCATAAACAACCATCTAAATATATCATACCAGCTTTCAGATAAATGGACCAGGTTCTAAACGCGGACACACAGGTGTAGAAGATCCTCGTGGGTTTCAATTAATTAGATAAACGGATAGATTTTCGCGGACGGAGGAGTACAGTCTCCTGCCAGCTGGAA